TCGAATACCTTGGGCACTTTATTTCTCATGAGGGTGTTAAGGTGGACCCGAGGAAGATCGAGGCGATGGTGGGGTGGCCGAAACCCATGAGCTTGACGCAGTTGCGAGGGTTCCTTGGTCTCACAGGCTACTATCGAAAATTCGTGAAGGACTATGGGACCATCGCTAAGCCACTTACGGAAATGACAAAGAAAGGAGCTTTCAAGTGGACCGAAGCGAGTGAGATGGCATTCGAGGAGTTGAAGAAAGCCATGATGACCACACCCGTGCTCGCGATGCCGAGGTTTGACGTAATGTTCGAGATTCACTCGGACGCGAGCGACATTGGAATCGGAGCGGTCCTAGTACAGGAAGGACGACCCTTGGCTTATCTCAGCAAGGCTCTCGGGCCGGCGCGCTTAGGGTTGTCCGCATACGTGAAGGAGATGCTAGCCGTGGTCGAGGCCGTGCGTGTGTGGAGGCCGTACTTGCTTGGGCGACGCTTTCGGATTGTCACGGACCAGCAGCCGCTCAAGCACTTGCTCGAGCAAAGGATCGTGACGCCTGAGCAGCAGAAGTTCGTGTCCAAATTGATGGGGTTCGACTTCGAGATAGTGTATCGACCCGGTCGACAGAACACCGTGGCCGACGCATTGTCTCGCTGGGAAGACGTGGCCGAGCTCGAAGCAATAACGGGGCCGACGTAGGCCGTTTGGGCCGAGCTTCGAAAGGCACAAGACGAGGATGCGCATTGCCGGGATGTGATCGAGAAGCTGAACGTGGGACATGACGAGGACGAGGACCATGACATGCACGATGGTTTGCTCCTTTATCATGGGCGAGTCGTCGTGCCCAAGGCGGGATCGTTGCGAGAGAAAATCATCCGGCACTTCTACGACTTGAAGTTTGGAGGACACTCCGGGGTGTTCCGGACATGGATGAGGATTGCGAGCACTTTTCATTGGCCAGGGCTGAAGGGTGATGTGCGCGACTACGTTGGGCGATGTGATGAGTGCCAACGCACTAAGGCGGACGCGTGTCGACCCGGCGGGCTACTCCAACCCTTGCCGGTCCCCGCACAAATTTGGGAGGACATCACCATGGATTTTATCGAGGGGTTGCCACTCTCAAATGGGTTCAATGGAGTCATAGTGGTGGTCGACCGTCTTACCAAGTATGCACATTTTATTCCACTTACTCATCCATACACGGCCAAGTCTATAGCAAAATTATTTGTCGAATATGTGATGAAATTGCATGGGGTGCCGCGGTCAATTGTTTCCGACCGAGATCGAATATTTATGAGTAGTTTTTGGTCGGAGTTCTTTAAATTGCAAGGAACCGAGCTAAACATGAGCTCGTCATATCATCCACAAACCGACGGACAGACGGAAGTGACCAATCGCTCGCTCGAGCGGTACCTTAGGTGCTATGTGCATCAGTTTCCAAAGCCGTGGGAGGATTATTTACCTTGGGCCGAGTATTGGTATAACACCACTTACCATAGCTCGACTAAGGCAACACCGTTCGAGTTGGTATACGGGCGCAAACCGCCGACGATCGTAAGTTACTCGATAGAGAGCGCCGTGAACGACGAGGTCGATCGAGAGTTGGTCGAGCGCGACTTGATGTTGCGCGAGCTAAAGCGGACGTTGGAAGGCTCGATCAATAGGATGAAGGCGTACCACGATGGCAAGCGGCGTGACGTGGAGTTCGAGCCCGGGGATTGGGTATACTTGAAGTTGAGGCCGTTTCGGCAAAGGACGGCCGTGCAAAGGGCCGCGACCAAACTCGGAGTTCGATATTACGGGCCTTATAAAATTTTGGCCAAGGTTGGGAAGGTTGCTTATCGACTTGAGTTGCCGGACGATTCACATATTCATCCGGTCATACACGTCTCACAACTCAAGCAACGACTCGGCGAAGCGCATGCGGCAAAGGATCGATTACCCGCGGTCGCGCCGGACGGGCAGGATATGGTGCGGCCAAGCCGGCGATGGAGTACCGGCAAGTCAAAAAGGCTGAGAAATATTTTTGGGAGGTACTCGTCGAATGGGAGGACTTGCCGAGCGAGGAAGCAACGTGGCAAAGTTGGGACGAGATGCGCGAAATGTTTCCCGATTTCTTCCTTGAGGACAAGGAAGCACTTGAAGGGGACGGGAATGATGAGAACACGGCAAGAAGATTAAAGAATGTTGCGAGCCGCGCTTATCATGCACGACGGAGGTTAAGCCGACGGGCCGCCCAGGCCCAACTCATTAGCGGACATGCGCGCGCGGACGGTGACGCGCGCGAGGATCTCGGCCAAGGGAGCATTAGCGCGGGTACGGACGAGGAGGTTCACGCACGAGCAGGCCTAACCACGCAAGGAGTAGGCGAGGCGGGCGCGCGAGAGCAGCACGCGCGCAAAGGCGGCTTGAAGCCCAAGTAAGAGATATTCTAGAGATTTATTTCCTTGTTTTCTAGTTTGTTTAGGACACCTAATA